TTTTTTTTTGGGGTCAAATATATCATTGCTCAGAGAACCACTAATTCAGTTGAAGTTGTTTTTATTTTATTTTATATATTTTTGTAGCTCTAGGGGTCTCTGGAGGACCAGACAGTATGGCACTGTGTGTTCTAACTGCCCATTGGAAGACCAATGGCTTGAGTGTTAATCATGATTGTGATGGCTTCATTGATGGGCTTTTGGCTATAATTGTTGATCACAGCCTACGAGCTGAGAGTAAAGAGGAGGCTAATATTGTATCTCGTCGCGTCTCTAGAATGGGTACATTTTCAAAAATTTTGCATATATGTTGTTTTGGACATTTTGGTTCTATAGTTTTTGCATATAATGAACAAGAAGGCTAGTGTACACGCTGTGTAGGACTCAGATGTGAGATTGCCCATTGTGAGTGGTTGGATGGTCGACCAAAACAAGGTCACTTGCAGGAAGCAGCTCGAGACATGAGGTGCTTATTTTCCGGTTTCGGATTAATTTTAGATGTGGTTTAAGTTGTTTGAAGAATGGGTTTTTGATTCTTTTGAAGTGGGGTTTGGATTTCAGGTACCGACATTTTCAGAAAGTTTGCATCCAAAACCAGATCAGTGCCTTGCTTATTGCGCAGCATGTTGATGACCAGGTCTGTCCTGCATCATTTTGGTTAGTTTGTCTAATTACAGACTCTTCTTTTTTTCTGCCTGGAAGGATGCCATGAGTACTGATTGTTATGACACGGTGCAGGCTGAGTTATTTGTTCTCAGACTATCGCGAAACAGTGGTGTGCTAGGACTTGCTGGAATGCCGTTCGTGTCTCAGATATTCTCGTCATACACACATTCTTGTGATTCGAATGATCATGGTATTCTTCTTGTGCGGCCGCTTCTGGATTTCTCAAAAGAAGACATGTACAAGGTTAATGTGGTAGAGTATCTCGCGGTTTTTCTTTCAGGACGGGGTTTGGAATTTAAACGGGCATGTTATTAGTTCTTTTGCAGATTTGTCAAGGAGGCGAACAGAAGTGGGTGGAAGACCCAACTAATCAAAGCCAGCTATATGCTCGTAATAGGATCCGAACATCGTTAAGAAAATACTCATCATGTGAGTTTCAGTGAGTATAAATCCGAGTTTTAGTCTAATTGACCTCTTTAATCAGTAATGTTGTGTGGTCTTTTCTTATTCATAAACACAAGCTTGGCCACGTTAAAGATAATTGTTCTTCCTTTCATTCTTCAGATACATTCAATTCCGAGCTACAAGCAGTTATTTCTTCCTGTCAACAGACACGGTTATACGTTGATAATGTTTGCTCCAACTTGATAAATAAAGCAGTAACTGTTACGGATGTGAGTCCTTTTTTTGCCGGTTCATCCCTTTAAACCATTTGTATTCACTGATAAGCTTTAACATTCTTCTTGTGCGACCGCTTCTGGATTTCTCAAAAGAAGACATGTACAAGGTTAATGTGGTAGAGTATCTCGTGGTTTTTCTTTCAGGACGGGGTTTGGAATTTAAACGGGCATGTTATTAGTTCTTTTGCAGATATGTCAAGGAGGCGAACAGAAGTGGGTGGAAGACCCAACTAATCAAAGCCAGCTATATGCTCGTAATAGGATCCGAACATCGTTAAGAAAATACTCATCATGTGAGTTTCAGTGAGTATAAATCCGAGTTTTTGTCTAATTGACCTCTTTAATCAGTAATGTTGTGTGGTCTTTTCTTATTCATAAACACAAGCTTGGCCACGTTAAAGATAATTGTTCTTCCTTTCATTCTTCAGATACATTCAATTCCGAGCTACAAGCAGTTATTTCTGCCTGTCAACATACACGGTTATACATTGATAATGTTTGCTCCAACTTGATAAATAAAGCAGTAACTGTTACGGATGTGAGTCCTTTTGCCGGTTCATCCCTTTAAACCATTTGTATTCACTGATAAGCTTTAATGAAAATTTACGCGACTTATTCCAAATATTTCCAAAAATCTCACAAAAATTCATTTGGCCTTACTCCTTGCAGCTTGGCTACGTTGTCATTGATTTGGAGATCCTTAAAGAGTCAAAAGTTGAAGACATTTGCCTGTCAAGGTTTATTGCTTTGCTTTTGCAGGTATTTTATATAATCCTCACCTTGTGAGCTTTTTCATATCTCGGCTATTTTTACTCAAATACTTGTAAATTTTGATGATGCGTGATAATTCACTCTTTGATGCTGTTCTCTGCATGTTTCAGTTCGTCTCACAAAGGAACAGGCCAATTAGAGGTAGTACTTCAAAGTTGCTTTTGGACTACATGCATACTTTCCCGTGCAAGGTAACCTTGTTTCGTTATTCCGCTATTTGCTAATTTGTCCAATATGCTTCTCCAAAATTGGTGCTGCTCACAGATTAATTCTTCAGTCTTCTTTATTCTTTGAGCTCTCGCTTTGTTCCTGTCAACTATGCTTCTCCAAAATAGGTGCTGCCCACAGATTAATTCTTCAGTCTTCTTTATTCTTTGAGCTCTCGCTTTGTTCATAATGAGGTTTTCATGTGGTCATGTTAGCTTTCGATCTGTAGTCTACCCTATATTATTTTTGTTTTATTTTTTATTTTTAACTTATTTAATTCATGTGTTAAAATCTATCTTTGCTTCTTGTAGACCTCCCTTACAGCAGCTGGTTGTTACCTTTGTCCAGCGCCCGGATCAAAAGGCACCAAAGCCCTGGTTTGTTATTCTGTTGATCATCCATTGCCTCAAACAAAAGAATTCCTCAATGTGCAGTCATATGTTGAACATCAATACCAAACTTCAAATGACGTAGAGCAAATCATAGCAGGTAGCAAATTGTATTTGGACCGCTTGGTTCCAGATGCATCGAAAGTGCATTTTTTGGACATAACGTCTGAATCAGTTCTGACTGAAGCTAGAAGACTCAATATGCTTAGTGAGTCGACATGCGAAAACATCCTTCTATTACAAAGAGATGAAGTTAAACATTTCAGGACTGAAAAGAGAGCGAAATCAGATTTCGAGTCAAAAGGCAAAGTAAAATCCATCAGTATGTATTCCGAACCGCTTAATCCCGGGCAAATTTGTTCCTTCATGAACCGATTCTTTGTCACATGGAAAACACCTGAGGAAACTGTTTGTGAGCAGGGTTTGGGAGGGGAAAGTTGGCGCCATCATTTCAGGTCATGCATGGTTGGTGATGAAATGGCAACCGAGGTGCGCCACATGGCAGAATCTGACTGGCTGTATCTTGTCAACTTGGTAAAGAGTCCCACTTCTTTTCAACAGCAAAATCTACCTTCAGCTAGCGGAGATGGGAAAAACTTGTGTTTGGATTATGCAAGGTACTCAGCTCAAAGGGCTCTTCGGATTCTGAAATCTGTCCCAGTTGCTGCAAGAAGAGGCTTACCTGTTCTAATCAATAGTCAAGGACTTCTACTAAGCATCCCGGTACCTTCCTTTTTCCCATTTCAGCAGATAAGACATTCTGCTGTATTTTAACTTCATTCAAATCACGACAACAGCCACTAAAGCTAAACTTTTTGTCTTAATTTCTTTGAACCGTCTTTTGTTTGAGTAATCTGAGTCCTACTTTCCTTGACAGAGCATTGGCTTCAAACATTGCGCTCGGTTAGATGTAACAGCGGTATTCATGCCAAGAGTACCCCTCGGAGGCGGTCATAGTTTTTTCAGATGAGGACCTCATATATTTGGATGTATGAGCCATAGGAAGTAGAGGCCAATGATTAGAAAGCAGAGCCGTTTTCCAGTTATCGAATGACAAGATGGTTTTCTAATCTCTCCACCGGCTCTCACCCGTTAAAACACCAGGGAACTAACATCATTTTTGGCTTCGCTTGATCTGTAAATTACACTGTAAAGTAGGTTTCACAACTTTACATGCATTAATAAATGTCCGTTCCTATATATTCTTGGTTAATTGAAGCTACAATTTTCTGTATGGAAGCAATTGTGTAGCACCTATGCGCTATACACGTGTTAATGAACGTTGAGAAAAGATATACATCAAACTTTTCTGCAAAATTGAAAGGATTTTGCCCTATGTTTCTCATTGTATTGGACAGGAGTCTGTTTACAGGTCTTGAAAAGGAAAACAAAAGGAAAAAAGAAACGATTTTTATCGTTCCCGCAATGCCGACTTCAAAATTTGAAGTTGGTAGTTTTCTGAGGGATCATGATTCCTGTGCCCTCAAACAAATATTCCTCTTACAAACTTTTTGGTGTGATACACTGAAGAAAAAGGTGAGAATGGGAGAGCAGAGAGAGAAAAATTACAATCTGCCCTGACCACCTCGTTCCTTCAAAGAGTCGAAAGACGTGAACCATTGCTTCCAAGCAGCGTCCTTTTGCTGCTCAAGCCATGAAAGAAAAGCACTGTCCAACAGGCAGAAGATGTTGACGTATAGGAGCTGATACCTGACCGGAACATATCGGAAATTCACAACCTGAACAATCGGCCACACGCCACCTTCTAATATCAAGGCTGGGAGAAAATCCCTCTTCACATCTTCCTTCACTTGCTGAACATTCTTTCCCATGGAAAATCCCATGTACGTGAAAAAGACTAACAGATCAAGAGGACCGAAGATAATGCCATCCGCTGCCACTTTGGTCGCCACAAACTGCAATGACTTCGGCTGTTGGTGAAGCTTAAGCCTTATAAACCTGTCCAAGCCTTCATACCTACAAGGGAAAATGACTAGCCCCATAAGAACTCAAGTGAAAAATACCCATAATCTCAAGTTTATCTTTCGATATTACATATATATTAGTACAATATAAGTAGTTGCAATTCATTACACCTATAGAGATGTCACACCCTTCATAGAATGCACTGCCCCTTGCATGAATAACTCAACAAGAGAACAAATTGCCTCAATCAAGAGGATTAATATCCACAACTCAGAAACAACATCCAATCGAAGTCATGCTATAGGTTCTCATTTTCAGTTTTAAAAATGTCTACAAAGAACCAGAAAAAAGAATCCATATTAAAATGCTTGTTTTCTCATTTTCAGTTTTAAAAATGTCTACAAAGAACCAGAAAAATGAATCCATATTAAAATGCTTGTCCTCACACTGTGGTATCTTCTACTTCTAACGAATTGAGAGATATCAAACAAAGTTCAGAACTGATCTCAAGCGAAAAGGATAAGAAACACACACCAGAAATGGCCAACCGGTCCGACAAAGCCGAAGCCGAACGTGCTTGTGATGGCCACACGTTTCCAATTGATTCTAAAATCTGCATCCGCATCCTGATACATTAAACGTTGGTTGTGATCTAACTTTTGCAAAGAAACCGACTGAAACACAAGTTTACTTGCTTAAGCCAAAGAAAAAAATAAAAAATAAAACTCTTAAACTTATCCAAGTGTGAAAGTACCAATAATTCCGTAACACTAGTAAATGCCACAATGATAAAGATGAAAAGAATGATTTTCCTTTTTTTTTTTTTTTTGAGAAGGATGAAAAGAATGATTAAAAAGGGACGAACTAGAACTGTTAGAATAGCGTTTTTCATGATATAAATCCTGTTATGAACACGTATAGAGATTGAGATATGACCGCATATTGAACTTCATCACTACACTAGAAACAGAAAGTATACTTTTAAGAAACTCCATCCGTTCATGAATGATAAAAACCCTCGGCTAATATCACATTAGGCATTAGCACTATTAAAGATGACGCTTTTCTACTATTTATGAAATCGTCTAAGCAAATGATTACATTATTTTTTGTTCACATCTTAGTCAAAGGCTTTTTGAAGTTTCTGGAAAATTGTAGAAGGGTCCTTACAAAAGAGGGCATTGCTAGCCTATGTTCGTTAAAGGTTACACGAAATAACAACACATAATAAAATGCAAGTTTTTTTTTTCCTTTTTTAAACAGTCAACATCAACAAGCTCAACAGATATTTCAGAGGAAAAACATAAAGGAAATCTCACTAGTGCAAATATCACTGCCATTATATCCACAAAAAAAGCCTCAGGAAAAAAAATCATAAAAAAACCCAAAACCAAAAAAAAAAAAAAGGGGTAATCATAGAAAACCCAAAACCAAAAAAAAAAGTACTTTACAGCTACAGCTACCCAATTCACCAATATAAGATTGAAGAACCAAAAAAAAAAAAAATGGACATACCCAGATAAGGAAAAGGCCTAATATGTACAAATGAGAGAAGAAGAAAAAGTAAAGAAAGAATAATTTAAGTAATGGGCATTTTGGAGGAGAAAAAGAAAACTCACAGAAATTTGAAGGCGGGATTTAGCGGAGTGGGTAATGTATTGAGCGGCAACGTCGCCGACGCCCCAAAGAAAGCCGGAGCTTATCACCTGAGTCTTCACCGGATGATAAGCCAGGCAGTTCTGGTACCATTTCCAAAGCCTCAACCTCATCATCCAAAAAATTATATAAAAAAAAAAAAGAAGAAAAAGAAAAAATTGGTAGAGAAAGAGGGATATGTAAAAAAAGTGACTTGTAAATGTACTAATTTTGAGAACCCATATCCTATTTATGACCACTTTGTCAGGAGACGTCTGACAAAAATGCATATCTAAAATTCAAAGCCCATTTTCTTGATTTTGGAAACTTTTTATTTTGAGCTTAGCTATTATATAGGTCCATCCCAAATGGATGATGAGTTTGTTGAAATAATAAACATATTTTTTTATCAATAATTGAAATTCAGAGGGCATATGTATGGATGGTGAGTTTGTTGAAATAAAAGAATTAAACATGTTTTAATTAAATTAATAATCAAAATGCAAAGAGTATGTTTGAATTTTTTTGATTTATAATCATCTTTGTGATATATATATATATATATATTGATTTTCTCAATCTCTCTTCCCTTCTAGTCTGAATAGCAGGTTCCATTCTTTTTTCAATGGAAAATGATGGAAAATTTTTATTCTTTATTGAATGTATACGGAGTGCTAACTGCTTTATTCATTGTATTTCAACAATTTTTCTGATAATTTAATTAATCTTTGGTTTTTTTAAAATAATTTTTAATATCTTCCTCTACAATCTAGATTATTATTATTTTTTTGCTATGATCTACACTCTAACGTTAGTTGTGTATGTTTTTGTTAACTTGATCAAATTTGACTCTATAATCTACCTTAGTTATGCGATGAAATAAGTCAAAATTTCAAATCTAAACATATTTTAGAGTTAACATCGTTTACTTCGCAGATTCAAGTTTTCAATTTGGGTAAAATGTAATATTTTTTAGAGCTTTTAATTGTAGCAGAAAAAGTTAGATGTGATATTTTCTGAAAGTTTTTAACTGTAAAAATCTAAAACTGAAAATTCGAATCGGTAAAATGAACGAAATTATTTACTTGTTCAAATCCAAACATTTTACATGACCAGCAAAAAAAAATTCCAAAGATGTTACATGATTAAGGAAGACAATACCAATTTGACTTTGAGTCTTGCCCTTCAAAAATCATATTGGTGATATTGGTTTCACTTTAAAGTTTTTTTTTTTTTTTTTTTGGAAAAAAAAGGGGATGGGTAAGAAAAAATTATACTAGTTTTTGGTCTTTTTTGGGTGGAGTACTCTTTTTTTGGTTTTGTTGGGGAGAAGAAAATTCTAGAAAAGGTTCAATTCATGAGAAAATACAGATAAATTTAGGGGTGGCAATTCATGTCACGTGTCGTATTTTGATCATTTTTTTTAAATTAACAGTCAACCCGAACACGATCCGTGACACGAAATTTTTTAAAAACCGCAACACGAATACGATACGACCACTTTACGAGTTGACACGACACGACCCGAAAATGACATGTGACACGAAATTGACCCGTGAATCTGAAATTGACCCGTAAATCTGAAATTGACACGAAAATTGCATATTTTTATTTAGTTTTTTACATGTTAGAAATAACTTAAAATTCATAACACACTAAATTATAATAACATCCATTGAAATTAAATAAATAATAGTATAAGATTTTGAGTATAACTATCATGATATCACAAGTTCATAATAAAATTTAAAATATGTAATGAAAAATATATGTATTTTTAAGTTTTTTACGAGTTTCGTGTCGTGTTTGGGTTAGACGGGTCCAACCCGAAATTGACCCGTATTTTTCGTGTCAATTTCAGGTCAACCCAATTCTGACCCGAATCTTTTTTTTTTTTTTTTTTCAACCCTAACCCGTAAAATTCGTATCGTTTTTTAATCGTATTTTCGTGTCGTGACCCATATTGTCGGCTATAAACTCTTTCAGAACGGAATAATATTTGCTTGACCCATCCCATAAAAGCTCAGCATACTCAAATAAAGTATTTTCTTTCTTTCTTTCTTTCTTTCTTTGTTTTGTACACCCAAATAATCTCCATAAAGCTCTAAATTGAAACGACATCGTTCTGGCTAGGATACTTTAAGAGAAATTTTATTCAATAGTTATAATTTTGACCTCGAGTATAAAAGGGTGCCTCGGCGAAATCTGGTCCACGGAAAATCTTCACATTTTATTTTGTCTCGCACCTTTTAACAGCCTCAAAAACTATCCAGAAAATCTCATTCTGATGAATATTTGTGGATAAGAATCTCTAGTGGATTGTCACAACACAAACACATTGGCACTACACTACACTAGACTACAAAAACAATATATTTTACTACTTACCCGCTTCAACTTCATGGGCTACATGCACAACACAGTTACCAATGACCATGCAACTCCAGTTCTCCTCCGAAGGTACACACAATCATTAACGACTACTTATGTTGGATTTCTCTTTTAACTTTCAAATTCTTTTGTTTTTCCTATTTTTGGTCAAACATTTTGGTTGAATTTACTTACTATATACTTTGATGTTAAATCAAAGTGGGAGATCTCAATTACCCAGATGGAATTACACTGTAATCGAGTTCAAACTACAGACGTGTGGTTGTAAAATGGGTGTTTGGGATGTTGAAATGCCCTTTTCTTGTGATAACCCCTTAAGAATTAGATGCCTTAATTCTATACAACCAAGAGCAATGAAAACGTAGAAGAAACTCAAACAAGCAAGAACATGTACTGTGTCGTAGTGTGGTTCACCGTCAGACTCGTTGTGTTTTCTCTGACCTCTCTCTCAACCCTGAAAACGGTGCGTGCTGTCACAAATTAAGAGTCCCTCTTGTCTAACAATTAGGCGTCTTATTAAGGATTTGGCCATTTTGAAGCCTAGTTTTGGTTGCAAGCAAAATTGCTCATCAACTTCCGCAAAGGATCGCAATTTAAAGCGCCAAATGCGACCCTTTTTTTGTCTTTGCACTAATGGTCCTTTTTGTTAGTTAGGTGGAAGAGTTTCTTTGTACCAATGTGTGTAATAAGATATTCATTTGTGAATTCAATGTTGTGTTGTTGAGTTGTTTCTTAGGATTGTATTGTGGTGTTTATGATTTCATATGTTATGCAACAGGATCCATTCTGTAGAAGATGTCTCTTTAACTATCTATGCAAACTCTGAAGATTGGGCTAAAACAAATTCTGTGTTATGGTCTGGCAGTCAAAGTTTCAACTTTTTCAAGGGAGGGAGGTGGTTTAGAAATAATTTGAGGTGCTTGTGAGAGAGAAGTTTTCTGAGAAGTTCATTCCGTTATCATGGGTAGAAGCCAAGAAGGAACCATCACAAGCAAGGAGCGGGTCCAGACATCTCCAATCATGGTACCATAACAGCAATTGTTTCTAACATATGATGGAAATCATTTTATCTTGTGACACTTTTTTTTTTTTAACGGCTTTTGTTTCTAACATATGATGGAAATCATTTTATCTTGTGACTTTACTTTTTTTTTTTTTTTTTTTTGGTAAACAGCTTGTGAATTTTGCCTTTTAATTTTTTTTTTTGGCTGAACTACTTTTTTTTTTTTTTTTTTTTGGTAAACAGCTTGTGAATATTGCCTTTGAATTATTTTTTTTGGCTGAACTACTTTTTGGTGAACACTTTCTTTAGTTCTGATAGAATTTTAGATTTTTTGTTTGAACTTGGGCTGGGGAAATTTGAACTCTACACCTTAAGATGGAATCATATATGGATTTATCGCTTGGCTATGCCTGTAAGCACATAGAACTTTAGATTCTATATATGCAAGAATCATTATGTTTTGTTGATTTGCTATTTTGAATATTTTGGTAGGTCATTATTGTTGAAATATTACAAATTATTGCATCAACTTATTTGCACGGATGCCGTTTAAATATACAGTTTGTCATCTCATACAAAGGTTGTCAAGCTCATTCCTATTACTAGGCTTGAGTGCTAACTAAATCCAGAATGTGGTTTTCTGAAACTAGTTCTAAAAAAAAAGTTGTCACCATGTGGCGAGAATGTTTGCGCACCCGCATGTGTGTTATTTTGAGATAATGAAGCTCGCTTATTTGAATAGCATCAATGTTTCAATAACATTTATTAGATATAAGACCATTCATGCATGTTTAGATGTAGCAATGGTCAAATTATGATAATTTTTTAACTTCATAGGAATCGCATATGCACAAGAAGGAGAAAGTACAAGTGTTCTCAAATTCCATAGATTCGCATATCCAATCACGCTGCCTGGTCTGTTTGGGAAACAACAGCTGCCGAACTGTTCGTTCAAGAACAAAACTAATGAATATTTTGATTGAAAGGGGGAGGCCTCATGAAGTCCAGACCATCTTCAACAGTTTAGTAGAAGAAGGACACAGGCCAACACTAATAACATACACAACACTCGTAGCTGCCTTGACCCGCCAGAAACGTTTCAAGTCCGTTCCTGCACTTCTTTCTAAGCTGAAAGAAAATGGTATGAAGCCCGACTCGATACTTTTCAATGCCATGATAAATGCTTTTACCGAATCCGGGAAGGTAGACGATGCCATGAAAATCTTTTGGAGAATGGAGAAGAATGGATGCAGACCCACTACTAGCACTTTCAACACCCTCATTAAAGGATATGGAATTGCTGGTAAGCCTGAAGAATCTCTGAAATTGCTAGAGCTTATGTCAAAGTATGAAAATGCGAAACCGAATGATAGGACATATAATATTCTTGTTAGAGCTTGGTGTAACAAGAAGAAAATTGATGAAGCATGGAATGTGGTGTATAAGATGGTTGCATCTGGTGTGCAACCTGATGTTGTCACTTATAACACATTGGCAAAGGCTTATGCTGAGAATGGGGAGACATGGAGGGCTGAAAGGATGATCTTGGAGATGGAGAGCAATAGAGTTCGTCCGAATGAGAGAACTTGTGGCATCATCATAAATGGATATTGTAAAGAAGGAAATATGAAAGATGCCTTGAGGTTTGTGTACAGGATGAAGGAGCTTGGTGTGCATCCAAATCTTGTTGTTTTCAACTCTCTTATCAAGGGATTCCTGGAAATTACCGACACGGATGGAATCAACGAGGTAAGTTCAAACTCCAATACTCTTTTGTTGGTCCATTCCCTTTCTCTCAAGTTCATTGTGTTTGTCAATGTTTCAGGTGAAATAGGACCATGATTTTTGCTGTCGTCAATATATTGTCTCTGTTTTCCTCATGTCACAATAACAAAAATACTAATGCCATTACCGGAGGGAGAATTAGTTATTCATGTTATGCCTGATGATTCCTATCTCCAATTATGAATTATTAGTTTCTTTTTGTATGTTAAACATTCATGCTTAATTGAAGAATAAATTGGACAGGCACTATCAATGATGGAAAAATTTGGGATCAACCCCGATGTTATCACATTTAGCACCATCATGAATGCATGGATCTCCGCAGGCCTCATGGACAAATGCCAGGAGATCTTCAATGACATGTTGAAATCTGGTATTGAACCCGACATTCACGCATTCAGTATTCTCGCAAAAGGTTATGTACGAGCCAGTGAGCCAGGGAAGGCCCAGTCACTTCTTACTTCAATGAGCAAATACGGTGTCCATGCAAATGTCGTGATCTTCACAACCATTATCAGCGGGTGGTGCAGTGCAGGGAAAATGGATCTCGCAATGAGAGCTTACGAGAAAATGTGCGAAATGGACGTCTCCCCAAATCTCAAAACCTTTGAGACCCTAATATGGGGATATGGAGAAGCAAAGCAGCCATGGAATGCAGAAGAACTGCTCCACATCATGGAACAGAAGGGAGTTTCTCCCGAAAAGAGCACTTTCCGTCTTGTCGCAGAGGCTTGGCGTGCTATAGGTTTTATCACCGAAGCCAAGAGAATTCTAAATGAGGCAGAAGAAGAAGAGAAGGACGTTTTACCAAAAACTGCGAAGGAAGAAAAATCTTTGGAGGGTTTGGAGACAATTTGCAAGAAACAACACTTGAGAGCTTCTTCTTATCCTAATATTTTGCAGGTTCCTGGACTAGTTGCTGAGAAACCAACTGCTGCTAACATGAGAAAAGGCCAGATGGTTTCTAAAGGATTTGAGTACTCATCTGAAGGCATTCAAAATGCCACCAAATTTATTTTTCTTCCTCATACAAGCGTGGTAAGAGTGCAACCGATGATCGTATGTCGAAAGCAATTGCAGGGTGGTCTTGTTGGGCTACATGGGAACTTTGTAAATAAATGTAGAGTGGTGTTCATATGAAACAAGGATTCGAGGAAACGCAGGATCCTATGTTGGCAAGGGATGAAATTCTGTTCTGCCTTAAAGTCGATTTTTGTCGGTTCCTTGAAGTTCAGGAGCCTTGAAGATTCTTTGCTGTTCAAAATTGTTGATTATTTGGTTTGCAGCATACCAACATATACCTCCAATTTCTGTTGCAAATCAACTGTACGTAATCATTTGATTTGTTTCATGAAATGTGTAATATATACTTACTATTCAAGCCCAGATAACAAACAGCTTTTGTCAATTTTCCAATAAATAGACAATGGAATATTTTTACTTTGGAAACAAAAAGTTCTGTTGATCCCATTTGTACTTTTCTTTTGCTTTCTGCTAAGCACTCATTTGAAAAGCAGGAGATATAATGCCGAGAAAATGGTTCTTGAAACCCATTACGAGTACAGAATATACATGTGATTTAGATGAAAAATAACGTCGGCTAATAGGACATCATTTGTATTTCCCCGTTTCATAATTATATATCATCTTCTTATATCGTCTTCTTTTTAACATTTAACTGATGAAAGAATTATAACTGAAACAAGTTAATAGTTGAAATAAAAGTTCAAGAACTATTTATTATTATTAAATAGGAACATTTCATTAGAGTATTATATATTTAAAACTCGTCCACGTACATATTTTTTCAGATATTTACTCCCATAACATCCAGATTATATATATAATCAAATACTTATCATCTTATATAACATTTACGTTTTTAGTTATCTTCCTAGAAATTTTATTTTCCTAAAAAATTTTATTTTCACTCTCATAATTTTATTTTACTTTTTTTATACAATGAAAAAGAAAAATGCCACCACTTTTATAATTTTTAGTTGTCCTCTCTCGTCACTTTTATAATTTTTGTATTAAAAATATTAGTGAGTAATAAATACTATATATATATATATATATACGCGTGATTCAAAAGGAGCCAACTAGCAACTAAAATCTTCCTATAAAGGTTATGTATTGTCCATTCTCAAGTTAGCAAGCAACGCACCTCCAGTTCTGAACAAACTATACAGAGTTTCTGATCCCAATAAACACCTCCAAAAGTTCGAAAACTCTGTATTTTTTCCGCCTCCGAAAGTCAAAAAATGCTCTCTGTAAATCTCCACTCTCCTTTACCTTCCCTGAGAACCCCAAATTCCCACAAACCCATCTTCTTCCCTGCTCTCCCAACACTCACTCTCCGTTCCAAAACCTCCATTTTTCCGAGCTTTAATCTCTCGAACGCCAAAACTCACTTCCATATCCTTCGTTGCAACGCCCTTAAGGACTCCGGTGACCGAACCAAGGCGGTCGCGAAGAACGGAGGGATTGAAGACGACGGAGGTGGCGGCGGCGGCGGTGGAGAAGGCGGGGACGATGGGGAGGTGGAGAAGAAAGGTGGAATCTTGTCGGAGTGGGTGAATTTCACCTCCGACGATGCGAAGACGGTGTTCGTGGCGATTGCGGTTTCGATTGCGTTCAGGACGTTCGTGGCGGAGCCGAGGTACATTCCTTCTCTATCGATGTATCCTACATTTGATGTCGGAGATCATATTATTGCAGAAAAGGTACTCCTTTCTTTCTTTTTACTGATTTTGGAAGTAATTCATTTTTTTTTTTTGGGTTCTTTTTTTGTTCCTTATCTGTTTGTGGGTGTTGTTAACGGTGAACTGAGGTTGCAGTATTGATTTTTGCTGAATTTTTGGTGATTTCATTTTCCTAATAAGAGGATAATTATGATGAAGTTAAGAGGTGATTTATGAATATTAATTACTTCAAATAATGACTTGATAGTGGAATTGCACTCTGGTGAATGCAAACATAGCCTTGTCGTAATTACACACCTAACTCCACCACAAGGCGCGGCGTTCAAATGCCCCGCCCCTAAAGTTGCAATTCAAAAAAAAAAAAAAATTTGCACGTTTAGGTACTTTTATGTTCTAATGGGTCAATTGAGCAAAAAGTTCTGGTGGGTCAGAGAAGCAGAGAAGTAAATATCTCTGCTTGTAAGACAAATATAGAGTATACGTTTGCATAAAATGCTTAGCAATTTGAGGGGGAAAAGTGAGCATAAAATTATAATTAAAACAATTACGCTTGTGTATGCTTCCATAAGGTTTTAATAGGATTACATTGGACATGGTGCCAACCACCGCCTTGAGTGAAGGTTGTGCTTGAAACTTTTGGAATGCATTTGTTTTCTCTTAGTTTTGTGGTATCATGTTTAATATTTGATCATGAAGCATTGTCTATAACAATTCTTTGCGTTGTTGTTGTTAGGTCTCATACTATCTCAGAAAGCCGTGTGCAAATGATATAGTGATATTCAAAAGTCCACCTGCCCTTCAACAAGTAGGCTATACTGACGATGATGTTTTCATCAAAAGAATTGTTGCCAAGGAAGGTGACATCGTGGAGGTGGGTTTAAATTAATACATCGTTAGCATATTTATCCTACGGTGGTTTAACCCGTTTTTCCTCTTTTTTGTTAGTCTTATTCATTTCCATCTCCTGGGTCAGTTTTTTGCTCAATCTGGAGTTCAGAGGAGAAGTATGTCGTAGTTTTAATTGTAAGAGCTGAAAAGTGGGACAAAAAACGTTGCGTAGAATACTTCCATGAATAGTGCTAAGATCCCAACTTTTTTTGATACCATCTCATGTAGTGATGAGTTAATATGTTTTCATTGGTAGATGCAACCTTTTAATACTAATTGGCGTGTTGATTTTTTGAACACCTACCGATAAAGGAATAAAAATTCACATGCCACATAAGTTGTTCGAAACTTGGGGATGTCTTGCATTATTCTATTTCCCTAGATCTGAGCCATAGGCATCTTTAATATGTGGCGGTCTTTTTGCTCTGAAGCATTCTATTCAAACAATACATGTTTACTTGAGTTTTGTATACTTTTCTTCTTTTCTTAGCTTGTTCATGTTTTGGTAACTAGAATCTCACCGAAGTAAACTGCCTTGTTTCAGGTTCGTAAAGGGAAGCTTGTAGTTAATGGGGTAGAGAGAGATGAAAAGTTCACACTTGAACCGCCTGCTTATGATATGAAACCATTAGTGAGTATCATATTCTTGGCCTTTTGGGGTTTCTTTTTTAACTTTCAAACAAGTCGTTGAGCCGAAAATTACCATTTGACCAATAATACATTCGGGAGATCTGTGTTTCACTTTACTTAAACTTCCTTTTTAGACTTGAAAAACTTGCTGACATGAAAGCACCTTTGCCTAATGATGCTACACAGCGTGTTCCAGAAAACTGTGTCTTTGTGATGGGCGACAACCGCAATAACAGCTACGATTCCCACGTTTGGTAATACATCCTTAATTCCTGCTGTCACAAAGTTTATAATTGTTAGGTTCATAGTTGTGAAAAACCTCAGTTTCTCCACCTCTATAGCAAATATTTACTGATTTTTTTTTTGGGTCTAATATATTGTTTTCTAGGGGTCCATTACCAGCCAAGAATATCCTAGGGAGATCTGTGCTTCGGTATTGGCCTCCAAACAGAATTGGTGGCACAGTTCTTGAGACTGGATGTGCCGTGGACAAGCAAGAGCCGGCTCCAACAACTCAATGATTATATTATCCTCTTTGTTACTTCTTGTCTATTTGTACAACAATAACCTTGTGACAAAGGTTGACTGGAAAAAATCATTTCTTTTAGAACTAGTAGGGCCCTCGTCTTTTTTTTTTTTTTTTCCTTCCCCTTTTGGAGAGGGTCCAGTCTTGGATCTTAATTGATAAAATACAAGTTAACCCTCTCATTTGTTGACCCTTTGTTACAGTGCATTCAACATCCTCTCTTTGTTACAGTGCATTTCAGTACACACATTCAAATGAACAATGTCAAGGCTTAGTAAGAGAGAACTTTATATGTTTCCATAGAGAGATACAAACAAATAAATTGAATTTCGATTATTGGTGTCTTAACTTTTCAATTCATAGAAACCGTTGAGTAAAGATTTTAAGCCGAGCATGCTTGGGTAAAGATTCACGGATTCTATCAGCGTATTACAAAGTTGGAGGCTAGAAATCTTGCTTAAATACACACAACAAAGGAACACACTTCAATATCACTTTATACCTATAAGTTTAACTCCAAGAATTCTACTACTATGAAAATTGCAAAACTCCCGCCTTCCAAACAGAGAAAAGAGTGACAGTTATTCCATTGTCACTCTCATATTAGTTGCCGACGCAGAGGAAGTGCTGCCAGTACTAGTTCGTTTTGCTGGATAGAGTTTACTGGTAATGCTATTACTCGAACGAACAAGAGTCATGCTTGAACTTGATGGGCTTGGTAACGTGAGAGTCGACATCTAGGGAACAAGAAATGCGTCGTTTGTGCGTTGATTTTACCAGCTTGCCAACCACATGACCTTTCGACCGCACTTCAAACATCAGAGTCATCGGAACTTCACTGTCATTGTCTGAGACTGCTAAGCTTGCTCCAGCCCCATACAGAGGCACTTTGATTCCTTGCAGGTTCACATTCACTGTCCGGTGGCTCTTTCTTGGCTGATAGTACTTCTTCAACTGCAGTGTATCAATATTTTCGATTTTCAATGCAACAAGCATATGCTAAAAGAAAAGGGAAATTCAAAGCCATTCAAGACCACTTATTTCATTTGATTTTATTTGAAATGAGGAGTGCTGGGTGCATCACCGTATGAAAATAAAAAATAAATAATAAATAAATAAATAAATAAAAAGAAATGTTAAAACGGCAAGAAGCGAGACAAATAAGTGTCACACCGGTATATAGCAGCTTTGTGGCATTGCCACACAAGCTGTGATTACGTTATGAATGTGTTTACTTCACATTAAAGGGAAAAAGAAAAGATTGAGTGTTTCCATACAACGTATACTTACAAAATTAAGAATGATAGTTTTTTCATCGCATTCCATTACGGTTAACATGCCCAAAAAGTGTTACTTTTCTCTTGAGAGGAAAAGTGAGCATATTAGTTCAAAACTATTAATTAAAGCTTAAAATTTTACCTGGCCTTTAGCAACTGCAATCTCAGAATACATGAGGCTGATAGGGGAGGAGCTAACATGAATCCCGAAGAATGAAGCAGGGTTGTAGACACTCATCCTCACCGAACAATTTAGTGTCAGCAACTTCGTCGGGACTCCGGTCACGTCCGATCCCTCGCCAAAGTAAAAGTTGTGCACGGTCAATGACTGCAAGCAAAAAAAAAAAGGGAGATTAAAAAACATAACAAATTACATTCTAAATTATTACGACGACAACAGATAGCAGAAAAAACAAACATTCTTATAGCACCAACTCTAAACCAAAATTACCATTCCACACTGGCTCACTCTTACAAAGAAATCAAGAATTACAGAAGGTCCACCTTTTATAAGCTCATATAAAAACTTTACATTCTAAACGTTGGAAGCAGGGCTTGGATTAACTCATAAAACTCATATTGACTTGGACATAAATCTGTATTACGCACAGTTAGTAGTATTATTCCTTTGAAAAACAAAACATGCAAATTGACTCTTATCTCACTCCCTTTTCTCCTAAAGTGATAATTTACTAAATCCGTAATTTAAATGCCAAAGATCCGTACTCTCCTACATAATCATCAACTAAATGGTGAAAAACTGTCTCTTTTTCCTTTTCTCTCTCAAACCATCCCATGATCAACTTGAAGCACGTGATCTCAAGAATCCATGAAATTAAGATAAAATTTTGAACTAATAAAGAACGTGAAAATTGTCAAAAACATCAAAAATTCAACTTGTAATAACTCAATTTTATACTTGGAAACTGTTGCATCATATCTCACTTTAATACGCTCGTAAAGCATTCAACAAATAATATTTTATTCACTTCCATATGAGAATAGTAGATCATAAACAACATTTAAATAATGCAAATAATTATATATTTAAAAAAAATAAACAGAGACGGAGAGAGATATTAAAGTAGAAACCTTGAGAGAAATCCGAGCTTTGTAAGGCCTACTAGCTCCCCAAAGGATCAAGCAAAAAACAGTAAAAATGAGGACAAACCCAACCAAACCCATGAGAATCTGACACCTTCTTGTCAGGCCTTTATCTCCATAAAACTCATCATAATTCCCTTCTTCCTCAATCACGTCACACTCCGGCCAGCCCTTGTCGTTTCTTTTCCCTCTCATCTTCCGTCCCGACGACGACCGGAACGTCCCGGAGAACCGGCTCGCCGACGACGTCCTCGAGTGGCGGCCGTACGACGGGTGGGAGGGGCTCTCCATGGGGCTGTTGAAGGCCGGCGTCGCCTGCATCGACGACGACTTGTCGCCGTCGTCGTGCGAGTCCCGCGACGGGCTCTGCACGTAGTACACCGCCCGCTTCGGCGACCGCGGCGACGACGGGTCCAGGCTCGTCATGTCGGAATCTGACTTTGCGTGAATCATCTTCCTCGCTCTTCCTCTTCTCTGTCTCTGTTTCTAGGGTTTGATAACAGAGGAATTACACACATATGAAAAAGGAAAAGAGAAGGTTCAGTGAACGTGACCCATGAAAGCTAGACACAAAAGAACCGTCTATATATATATATATATGTAAGATCAACAGAAAGGAAGAAAATGGAAGCTTTGAAACAGGGGAATTCGGAGATCCCGAAAGGAGAAAGTCAGTGACAGAGAGAAAAAAGGGAAAAAGGAAACGGTTTTGAGAAGACTGAAGAAGAAGAAGAAGAAGAAGAAGAAAGAAGAAAAGCAGAGCTGCAGAAGGCACTAACGAGTGACAACAGAGTTGGTTTCACGCTGCGACAGAGACAGATAGAGAGAGAAAGAGAAAGATAGAGAGAGAAAGTGTTGTGTGTGTGTGTGTGTGTGTTTGATAGTGGGTGATTGTCAGAGAAACGGCATGAGAGGTTCGGGAGAGCCGAAGCTGGAGGTTCGGGAACCAAGTGTCGGCAGCAACTTTGATAGTTGATAGTTGATGGTTTGATACTTCCGTTTTGTTCGTGATCGCAGTTTTGGTTAATATTTTGCCTTTGACGAAGTTCTAGTACGAGTTACTACTAATTATAGGAGTTACAAACATATACGACGCCGTTTGGATGTGGAATAAGAGAATATTATGTCTTGTTTATATTCGTCGGTTGCTGATTTTGGTTTTGTATTTATTACTAACTTGGAGTTGAGAAGAAAACTGTCGTTTTCATGACCGGAAATGTGGAGGGTGATAAAAATCTAGGTATTGTTCGTTTCGCTGATTCGAGTTTAAAATTCGAGTTAAGATGTGATTGTATATGAAAGCTTTTTACTGTAGCAAAAAAGTTAGATGTGATTGTTTGTGATAGCTTTTTACTGTAGCAAAACTCAAATTCTAAACTCGAATCAGCGAAATCTCGCAGTTAAATCTCGTAGTTAATTTAAATTTACTTATTTGAGTTTAGAATTTAAATTTTGTTATAGTAAAAATTCTCAGAAATAGTCATATTTAACTTTTTTATTATAATAAAAAACTCTCACATAAAATCACATCTTAACTTGAATTAAAAATTCAAATCAACGAATTAAACAAACCTAAAAGAGAAACGAACCAAGTGTGTTTTTTGAGATAATTAGGGAGGCTGAAACAAGTTTTTAGTGTGGATTGAATTGTACAGAGACCTTAAACTCTTAGGTCTCATACATTTCACCGATTCGAGTGTTCAATTTTAAGTTTTTACAGTTAAAAGCTTTTAAAAATTGTCACATCTATTTTTTTTTGCTACATTTAAAAACTCTCAAAAAAAATGTCACATCTCAGCTCAAATTGAAAACTCGAATCTATGAAGCGAACGATGCCTTACAATTTCTGCCGCAGTGTTTCAAACAAATTTAATTGTATGAGCCCCGTTCATTCACCGATTCGAGTTTTGCTATAGTAAAAAGCTCTCAGGATCAATCACATCTAACTTTTTTGCTACAGTAAAAAGCTGTCACATAAAGTCACATCTCAACTCGAATCAGCGAACTGAACAGGCCCTATACCCTCAAAATTACTGTAGGGTTTTTGTTTTTAATTTTCAACCTCTTCCTCTTCTATCTCGTTCTTCTCTATTTTCTTTTCTCAGCTACAACTGACTAGCCATCCAACCTCAAATCTCTTTCTTCCCTAGTCTTTTCCTCTTTTCTCTCAGCCACCATTCCTCATCGACCAGCACCTATATTCGCTGGTGCTCCTTGCCGATAAGCACCGAAGACCTCAAATCTCCTCGTCGTTCCACCACCGCCTCACCACGAGCGTCGTCGATTCACAGTCATCGTCGTTGTCTCACCATGAGCACAAGAGATCCATGCAAAAACGTGGATCTCACGAGAGCTCAACATAAAGGAGCTTTTTCCGATCTCCTCAGCACTGTGATCGCCACAATCTCGCGGTGTGCAATAGCTTGCCTCGATCTCACCAAAATTGTTCAGTCTTTTGTTGAGGCGTGAAAGCCATATCGTCGGAGTTGGGGGGATCTCGTCGATTCCGCGATGCATTCAACGGCCGCTGTTGAGGAGATCTTGCTGTAGTTAAGGAAATAGATCCAGATCTCTTGTTCTTTTTGGCAAATTTAGGTGGTTACCGGTCGGTGACTCGATGGTTACTGATCGGTAACTGGTATCTTGGTGGATATCAGTTGATATCTTGACCAAATACCTGTGACTTAGTTAGCACTGCTAGTTGATAGTTGCCGGCTAATACTGATGGTTGTCTCCCAGATACTACTAGCATCTCAGTTGGATATCGACCAGTATCTTGATCAGATATCAATATCGTGGCTAAATATAAATAGGTATCTTAAAAGATATATTTAGTATTTTAAATATAGTGTGATGATATGACTGTGATATTTTTTTTGTAAGAATTTATACTCTTAATATATGTCAATTCAAACTTAAAATCCATGACAATTTCTTTTAAACCCCGTCTTTTTTAATTGGGTGATGAGGACAAAAGACGATAATTTTTTTTTTTGAACATATAAAAGATAGTGAATAAGAGATAAAATAATTTCCAAAAAACTAAAGAGATCATATATATAGAATTTCTCGAAAAATTTATCATATCCATGATACTATCTACATATTCAAAATATATCCATTTTAAAAATATTATCAAATAAGTCCAAAAATTATTAGGGATTTTCTATGACTTTTTTAATAAATGGGAGAATTTTTTTATTTTTTAAACATATAGCTGAATTTTTTTTTTATTTTAGCAAAGTGACCCTTTTTTCGTAATTAATTAATAATTGTCCGATGATTAATCAATGATTGATCTATTTATTATTATAATTTATAATGATTTATCATTTTTAAACATGTAGTTTGTTAATTAAAATTGATTAATTAATAATTAATTTGACTAATTATTAACTAATACTGAGAAATAATGAAAAATTATCGTGTTAATTAGTGATAAATTTAAGTCAATCACTGATTGACCGCTAACAATAAGTGATTACCTATTTAATTAATAGAAAAAGGGTCATTTTACTAATTTTACAAAACTTCCGTTATTTAAAGAAAAAAAAAAACCTTAAAAAAGGGTTATTTACCTCTATATCCCTTATTAGGGCTATTATATTGAAAATAAAAACAGAAATCTCCAGGGTACAATTCATCGTTGAAATTTTTCATAGAGAAATACTTTAAATGCACAGCTAACTGCAAACAATTAGTACTTTTAAAGACTAGCGTCCGCCTACCTGAATTAATTGACATTACTTGAAAAACAACTGCATTGACATCTAATTTATTATTAATAAATAAACAAAAAACGACTTTAACATTCCTTCATACCACTACTTGCCACAAGTTTTATAACACCTTTGTAATATGCTCCTAAAGTGGAATACTAGAATGAATAATTGACAGTTTAACTGCATTCTTGAACCGGCTAATTTTTGCTTTTACGAATTTCAACATTTTACTTTTTTTTTTTTATTCTTGCTTCACCATCTAAATTACGGGTCACCATTTTACACAGACATGATTCAGTTCGCGGATTCGAGTTTTTAATTTGAGTTGAGATGTAATTTTATGTCAAAGTTTTTCATTGTAACAGGAAAGTTAGATGTAACTTTTTGTAAGAGCTTTTAACTGTAATAAAACTGGAATTGAAAACTCAAATTTGTGAAATGAACAAGGTCAATCTTCATTGAACATTTTACTTTAGACAAGAGGGAGAGAAAAAAAAAAAAAAAAAAACAGAGATTAATTAGTGTACCAATATTCGATTTGGTCTGTTTTGCATCCAAATTATTAGAAGTAAAGGATATTTTGCTCGGACGATGCAGGACTCTAACCAAGTGCCTCAAGTGTCGTGATTTTTGCTCAGACGTATAGTAAGGTGATCATACAATACTAGCTTCGGACCTGGAGATTAGTAGGAAATTGGTCTCACTGATAGAACAGAGAACATTTGTAACATCTTAATCCAAGACTCTTGTCTGCTGTTCATCAACCATAAAAATCACAGGATACATTTTATAAATGCCCTTCGAGGGAAGATTCCATGGCAGCTGCGGAATGAAGAAAGGGGGAGAATCATTTTATTTTTTTTTTAAAAAAAAAATCATTAGTTTTTTAATCTAATATTAGAAAATTCTGATCCGTTTTAGTTTTTTAATTTAATAATAAAGGACTTTTTCTGTTGTTCCATTTTCTTTGAGAACACCGGTGTTTCTTTGATTATCAGCCTCTAAATATATATTAAATCTGATCAAAAATCAAATTAAATTATAAAAATAATACAAATCTGATGATTAATAAACAGAAAACACCGGTGTTTTTAAAAAAGATGGAACATCAAAAAATTATAGCAATTTAAGTTTCTATAATTCTTATTCTTTTCGAAATTAAGACATCTAACTCGAATAAGTTTTAATTTTTTTCATAAGTGTCATGTTAGCTTTATATGGACAAAATTAGATGAAAGGGATAAAATTGCCAATATTTTAAAGTTTGAAGAGAATAATGGCAAAATACAAGTTTTGACCTTATTAGCGTCTCCATCATGTGAACAAAAGAGTAAAGTTATGAAGAGGGGAAAATATGTCAGGGACTAAGTTCGAGATAAATTTATAAAATTTATCCAAAAAATCATAATTCACGAGCATGACAATTGATTTCTTCCAAACTACTTACTAATGTGCCTCGTATTTTAAATTTGCTCAATGTCGTGAAATTTTACCTTTGGCAATATATCCATTTTTATTTTCTACATCCATCTTACATTTTTACTTGTCAAGGATAAGGTTTTTCCTAGAAAATTATAAAGAGGTTATTTATTTATTAATAAATGAATAATTTATTAATTTATCGATAAATAGATTATTTATTAATTTACAAAAAGTTTTAGGTTTTGATTACTTTTGTGCATGTACCTTTTTTTTACAAAGATTCATGCACGAGCTATAATTAATAAAGATAATGGTATATGGTCAAAAATTAATATGTGTCCAAAGAAGATTGCAAAACTTGTCGTGAAAAAAAAAAAAAAATTGTTGTTATGTTCATGCATATAAGCCCAAAATTGATGTATATTGTAAGTACAATTAACATGAAGGTTAATAAGTATTTGGGCATACGATAAATGTGTTTTTCAAACTTAATATGCCTGCGGATAATGATCATGATTCATATGACAGTTATGCTTTACTAAACGTTTCTCAAAAAAGGCATTTCAAGCAATAATAATTTTAAATAACTTCTTGCTGCATTTGAAAAAATATATACTAAATATAGTACATAGTTTTGCCAAAAAATTAAAGACGAAGTTTAGTTCAATTTAGGTACAAAGAAAAAAACAAATGACTTTAAATGCATATTTTCTAAAATAAATAAATAAATTGAGAAAACATAAGTTGTCTAGAGAAAAAATAAAACTCTTTTATATTATGAATTACATATGATTTTTTGTCAATTATTAATTTATATTTTCGTTGAGACCTAAAAGATTTGAAAAAAAATTATCTCATGTATTTATTGAGATTATTAATTTATTACATTGACTTGAGTAGGGATGTTCATCGGTTTTTAATCGACAATTTCGGCCAGTTTCAAAACTGAACTGACAATGTCAGTTTTTAAAATTTTAAAATCGAAACTGAACCGAAGAACAATGTTTTCGGTCGATTAACTGACTGATTTTTATCAATCAGTTTTCGGTCTGTTTCTTACTTAAAATTTTTTGTGAACTATTTTATTCTTAAGTTTTAACCATTCAAATATTTAAATAATTAAAATTAAAAAGAAAAGTAGCTTAAAAGACAAAAAAAAAAATAAATAAAGCCTAAAAGAATGTATTTTAAGGACTAAGGCTTTACATCTAATCTCAATTAGAAAACTTATTTATATTGAAATCCATCATATTATTGAAGATGTACATTAAAAAAAAATTAAACCTCTCTAACTTATAAGTTGTGATGGAAAAATGAAATACATAACCTTTTATATAAAATAGTTGAGGGAAGACATTCTCATATATTTTTAATGTGAAACTTTCAAAAGTCTGATGTGTTTAAACTTTTAATAATCCCATATTGAAAATAGATGAGAATGTCATCCTTCAACTATTCTATATAAATAGTTATGTATTTCATTTCTCCATCACAACTTACAAGTTAAAAAATCTAACTTTTTTTAAACGTCCATCTTTAATAATATGATAAATTATATTCACTATCTACAAGATTAAAAATTTAAATATATAGATTATAATTTTTTTTAAATTAGTCAGTTTAATTAATCACTTCGGCTGGCAAAATAAAAAACCAACCACCCATGAATCATAGATGTTCAGTTAACCGACCGAATTAGTCAATTTGCTATGTGAAACCAAATTTTTGATTTTTTTCTATCAATTTAACGGTTCAGTGTCGGTCAATTTCAGTTTTTTGATTTTTTTGAACACTACTAAATTTGAGTTTATAAGGACAACGCAAAGCTCTTGTCATCTCCCTAATGGACTATTAATACCCGTTTGGTTCATAGATTTGATCGCAGGTTCAAACTTGTGAATCCTTCATGGTACACAAAAACAAACGTTAACTTCAATTTCTGCCCGTTTCACGTTGTAAACTCTACGCCCATCTACTAAAATTTTAATTTTTTTTAGATATGAAGTCGGATTTTGTTATGTGTATTATGAAGAAATGTGAAATTTGATTTAAATTATCATTTCTTCAAGTATGGGTGAAACGATCAATTATGTTCTAGGAAGTAGTTTAGAATGATTTCTTTGATTTTGATATCAATAAATCCTCAGAATAAAGGCTGATCAAATAAGGAATACAATGCCTATTACGACCAACAAAACCTTAATCCTCAGAATAAAGGCTGATCAAATAAGGAATACAATGCCTATTACGACCAACAAAACCAACACTTTTAAAATGACAAAACAAAACAGAGTAAAAGAAGAGAGCAATTCAGATATTATGTTGGTCGTCAGATAGGAGCGAAAGACTTAAATGTGATAATCACAGAGATTCATCTGAACTATGCTTTGTAATCATCATTCGACCACCAATTTTATACGTTTAATTATAAAACTCAATAATTTAAAAAAAAAAAATTGATTATAGAAGATAGCCTCAGAAGGAAGGCAGTAGTGGTATGAGGTAATCACGATAAATCATAAAACCCAATATACCATTGATATCATCATTGGCAACTTTTATACAAAGACAATCTTCTTGCTTAATTATTTCATAAAAATTTTTATCCCAAAACCAACAAAAGAAAAAAAAAACAAGGGTTCTCTTAAAAAAAAAAAACTTTAAATAACAGTGAAAATAACGAGAACTTCACAAACGAAGAAACTTTACGGCCTCATAGAGAAGATTAGATTTGTCAACACAAAATTTCAGACATATGCTTGTCTAAATAAAAAATTTAATCATCGGCCGCATAAAATCAAATAAAGATATCATCTTTAAACCTATATGCTAACAAGAGGAAGAATTTTCAGAAACCAGAAAGAGAAATCAGAGAGGAAAAAGCAAGAAGAAAAAGATTTTCTTTAAAATGAAAAGGGACTCAGAATATGGGTGGTGATATATCAGAATGGTCGGCAAGGGCTATGAACCCATTACGACGAACGAGACCTTATCACAATAATCGTCACCGTCCCCAAACAAAGCAATTCCAAAAACAAACAGACAAAACCTCGAAGAAGATAACAATTGAAGAAATTAGACGAATCAACGAGTTGAAGATCACCAATTTTGCGACGGAATTGGAAAATAGAAGACCCGGCAGATATGAGAGGAAAACTAGGGTTTCGATCAAGGATGGAGATTGTTGTGACGTTCCGCTGGTACTTATAGCGAAGGAAGGAGCTAGGGTTTTAGGTTTCGGCGGTTGGAGATCGGATTTGGGATTGTGATATCGGGTCCGTCTAATTTATGGGCCCGGGTTAGTTGTGCCTTCCTAACCAAACCGTTTCTGTCGGGTCAAATAAATGTCGGCCTCGTTCGTTTCGCTGATTCGAGTTTATAATTGGAGTTGAGATGTGATTGTATGTGAGAGCTTTTTACTGTAGCAAAAAAGTTAGATGTGATTGTTTGTGAGAGCTTTTTACTGTAACAAAACTCGAATTCTAAACTCGAATCAGCGAAACGAACGAGGCCGTAATTACAAAAATATCCTCCCTGGCTTCGTTTTGTTGCAAAATGCGCCATTCCTTACCATTTAGAGGCACTGCCACTGACATTCACAACAATGTGACCCCCTTTTTATTCTGTGGGAATCTCCATACATGCACCCTCAAGTTTTCGTCGGTTGGCATATTAGACCTTCAACTTTTAATTTTGACTTTTGGAGACCTAAATTTAACAACCTTTTTCAATTGCAGTGCAATAATGAACATCTATTAGAAGATGGGATGCCATATGATATTTGCAAAAATTGTATCTTAAATTTTTATTGGTTGGCAAATTGGACATGATAAATTTCTTAGTTTTTGCATTGGACCCTATTTTTTTGTTCAATAATGTTGTGTATGCCAAAGATCAAATTTAGGGTGGGCTTTTCTGTTTGTGGAAAATTTTTTTATGATAGTTTATGGAATTGTTAAATCTTGTGACTTTGGGATAAAATTGCAATATATTTTAATGATTTGACAATTTTGGGACATTTTAATCTCTAAGGGCTTGTTTGTTTCATGCGTTTAAACTCATAATTTTAGTTCTACTATAGTGTTTGCCTCTCACAAAAAATTTAAATTTTAAATGTCAAAATTAAGAATTACTGATTTAAACGCATGAACCAAACGATCATAAGAAAAGTATACTTTCTTTATTTAGTCGATAGCTTATTGTGTTTATAAATGGATCATAGCTCATGAGTCTGAGTAAAAGTGCCCTTTTCTATCTAACGATTAGTTTTGGATACAAACCTATCTTTGTAAGTTTTTCTTGTTGCTCTTTGAGTAAAATAGTCTTTTAACTACCCAAGTTGGGTCCAAATCTAAGGGATAAAGTTGATAATCCATCCAAGAGGGGGGAGTTGATAACAAAATGCTAAATCTAAAAGATGCAATGTAAATTTTAAAAAAGAATATTTACTATTGATTAATACCTCTAAAATGTATGTGTGAATTTATATCCCTTACTATTATTGATTAATACTTTTTTAGTCAATAATTAGATTAGTCAAAAGGGTACTAAAAAAAAAAAAAAAAAAAAAAAAAAAAAAAAAAAAAAAACAAATAACGTCATGTACCAAATCGCCTGCATCAGAAAAAACATCAAGAACGGAACAGACCCCACCCAGCGAGAGAGAACTACCTAGCGTACAGCAAATGAATATATAAACAAAGAAAATCTAATTGCAAGGAAAGAAATTCGAGATCAAATCGCCTATTACAAGCCTGTGTCATCAACAAAACTATATTTTCCAAGCAAAGGATTCTACATTCTAACATGACAGACGGTGTTACAAATGTCATCAGAATCTGACATATACAAAACCAAAACTTGACGGCGTGATTATGAATCCACCACAACAACAAATTGGTTGCGATGCCTTCCAGATGACACAAAGAAACCAAGAGAAATAAACAAGCAACCACGCTACCTCTAAACATCTTTCACTCAATTTCTGTTAGGTCTACTTCTATCCACCGGCACAATCTGTGAATCAACTGTTGACAGGATCTGGGGCATTGACATGCCTCCGGACACAACAATTTCTGCATTTCAGGGACGGAAAAATTTTGTTAGTCTATGAAAATGCAATATTAAGCTTTCTAAATATCTGGATCTCACTAGATGAAGAGCACCACTTGTATTTCAGAAGAAGTAGATCTAGATAAAGTAACATATTAGAACCAGGTACTAACCAATTCCTTCTCGAACTGATAAATTAGGTCTTATAACATCATTGGTGTTGACCAGGAATATATCACCAATGTAAAGATGGTTGGTAGGCACATAGACACAGCATAGCTCCTCTTCCCCAGAATAATTCTACATTAAAAGAAAATCGAAGAACAAACAATACTCAAACAGTCTAGAATCCATGTAGCATATAATACGGTGTCAGTCGCCTAACTCCTGACAGCTAAATCACAAAGTCAAATTCCAAAACAGCGTACCGATGACAGATGGTCCATCATTACACTAGACAATTAAAAATAATGGACATTGTTATTGGCCAGTATGGCACAAATCAAAATCATTTCATCAAATGATTTCAACAAAATTACTTCTCTTATTAGTGCCAAATTGAACCCTTAATACAGTAAAAGTTTCGCCAAAGACCCACTAGCATCAAAATAAACTATAAATATAGAAAAAGGAGACTAAAAATAGGAAGTATTTGCCACTAGCTGAGAATCGAGTGCAGAGCTAGCAACAGTGCACACTATAAACATGTATGATAAAACATCTAATAATTACAAAAATAATACAACCATAAACAAAAGTATTCAATCAAAAGCAGTGCAGATGCGATAGTTGCACAGTATAGAAATTATTAATAAACCTGGAGAACAACAGATGAAGTGATGAACCCAAATGCGTATTCACCAACACGCGGATGTCTTATGATCGCAACTTCCTTGAAAGCTTGTGTATTTTGATCTGAAAGTATGAAGTTATAAATTGTAGACTACCACACACCCTATGTTGATACAATAATTTTTTTAAAAAAGAAATAAAAAAGGAATGAATGCTAATATAGAGCAGACCTGGGGATATGGCAGCACTAATCTGCTTGGAAGCATTGTAGATATGACGAACCAAAGGCATCCTTTTGATAAACCACTCCCCAAGACTCAGGACAGAAGCACCCAACCATGATGACATGAAGACCCCGACCAAGAAGATGAATGTTATAGAAGTAATAAATCCGAGACCTGACAGGAATACATATAAGTGAAAAAGTTGACAACGTATAAAGAAGAAATATCCACTGAGCAAAACTAAAGTCACTTTTTTTTTTCCCTTGATAACAATAAACAGATTTTGGTACAGTCTATCACCTCATCTATTAACCAGTGAAACTTTATAATTGTAAACGGAATATATCTTCCTTTGTCTAAAGATAAGAACTTCACCTCAAACACCAAGATCCAGCCAGTTGAATAAAATAATAAAGTTACCTCCTAGAGTAGATATTCTTTTAGACAGTCCTTATAGTTTTATGGGCAAAGAGAGGTGATTTACCGAGTCTGTACCCAAATTACCACATTAGTGAAAACAGATTGGTTGTCCCAAATACATAGAACGAGATATGCCAAGCTCAAGACATTTGGTAAGATTGGATAAAAATTAAAAAAAAAGAAAGAAAAGAAGATCATAAGTATAGGGGGAAAAAGAGGGATAGGAAGAAGTAAACATTAAAAAAAATCAAAAGAGAATAAGAAAAGGCTCTGCCAAAAAAAAAAAAAAAAAAAAAAAAAAAAAAAAAAAAAAAAAAAAAAAAAAAAAAAAAAAAAAAGATAAAAGTAACAAAAAGATACTACAAAGAAAAGGCTCTGCCAAAAAAAAAAAAAAAAAAAAAGATAAAAGTAACAAAAAGATACTACGATCTCAGGAAAAATATTTCCATGCACATCGTGCACATTTAGCTTTCCACTAAATAAAACACGGGTTATTATGTTCTTAAGCGTACAAAATTGATGATTCGATAAAGTTCCAAAGCTTCCACACTAAGGGCCAGTTTGGTAGTGCTGTAGATTTTAGAAAAATTGTTTTAGCTGTGCTGGAAAAAAAAACAGCTGTTATAAAAAGCAGACAAGTGTTTGGTAAACTGTAATTATACAAGTATTGATTCCAGGGGTATTATGGGTATTATGGAAGTTTCATTAATTGTACTGATTGCCGCACAATCTAAAAACTACAGTTGTCTTTGGGCTGCTTCTGATTTTGACTGTAAATTCTTCAAAAATTCTTTAAGAATCACTTTTATGGTTTTTACCAAACACAAATTTTAGCTGTGGATAGCTAGAGAATTAATTTTGGACTCCAAGAATCACTACCGAACATACCCTAAGTCGTTGACCAACCCATATAAAGACAACAAACTTGAAGAGCTGAGGAACTAGAATTTCAAAATGCAATACTTGTGAAAGCTTCTACACCTTAAAAGCCAGTAAGGCTTAGAGCATCTCATCAAAATCAATTCTCACAGGTGATTGATTTAAATCACCAAATAAAGAATGGAATAGAAAAACTGTTACCATACAAAGAACATGCTTACCAAAAATATCAATTCCAAGTTGAGCATAAATTGGAGAGAAAAAGCCATCCACAAAGTGAATAAACCACCACGTAATATAGAAAGTAATAGCTATTGGAAGCAAAATAACACTGCAAAACAGCAAAGCGTCAGTAGCTATAGTTAATAATAACAGCACTGAGCACAAAATCCGTAACTCTACCACAAATGATTATCACAAACTCATTACATCTTGGAAAAAAGCCTTCGTATTTGTCGCACAACTATTTCATTAGCCACAATGGAATTCATGAACTTAGCCAAATAGTTTACTTATAATTCTAGTCTCTTAGAAAACCATAAACTTTTAACTTAATAAATAAACAAGTTGCAAAGTTGAAACTCAAAGGTCATATCACATACAAAGCGCTTGAAACTCCAACAACCGTAAGCAAGCATCCCTCAAGACTTAATAAATAAACAAGTTGCAAAGTTGAAACTCAAAGGTCATATCACATACAAAGCGCTTGAAACTCCAACAACCGTAAGCAAGCATCCCTCAAGACTTAAAATACAAGTAGCATATTTATTGAGTTTTGAGTAAAAATACAGCAAGTACCATATTTGTTGATTTTTGAGATTGTCTCAATTGAAACAAGTACATATGAACAACAGGAAAAAAGTGGAGAACAACCTAGACGTTCTCATTCAAGATCTTCAGAAGCATCTAATTAAGCTAAATACCAGTTATTGCACGGTATCACCACCACATTTACAACTATTTTACTCGTTCCAACACTAAAGTTCTAATTTTGATTAATAAATGAAAAAATTTTAGTAGCAGCGACAGTGGTCAGTGTAAACATGGGTGGTAATGTTGGGTGTAGCAGTGATGATGGCTTCTGAAATTCCATCTTGCAATCTTACACGCATAAGAAAATAGCCTTTACAAATTACACACATGGACGTAGAGTAATACTGCAAATTTAACAGACTTGATGGCAAATAAGAGCTCAGAGAAAGACGGTTTTACCATCCTGTCATGAACTTTTTTGACGCCCAGCTCCTAACAACTTTGTAAAAAGTCTACAAGTGACATAACGAACAAGAGCAAGAGTTAGGTGGATAATATATGCAAACTCACAATCATGTATAAGCACTGGAAGACCAGAAGGAATCAAGTGAATAAGAGAACATAGTAGTATAGATCATGGATGCAATATCAGAAACTTGTTTAATGATTGTCATTGTCATGAAAAATGCGTGTCATGTATCTGAATCATATTGCTCAAAATCTACCCATTAACATTTAGTGAACTTTTCTCTCCAATCAAAGAAAATAATCACTGTAAACCTAAAAACTGAATAGCTCCAAAGAGATTCGTACTGCAACAAAATGGCAAAGCTATGATCATTGTAAGACTGGAAACGATTTCGCTTAAGCTAAAATCAATGACCAAAGAAAATCAATGGAACCTACAAATTGAACAAAGGGAAAAAAAAAAGAAAAGAAAAAAAGAGAGAGAACAACTTTACTTCTTGAGTAAACATTAAACACCATTAAATTCAACTACAGACTAATCCAATTTTGCACTAAAATCAAGCCTCAATTGCCCAAAATAGGAAAATAGCTACAAAAGCTTGAATTTCGCGAATCTGAGTTCGCCAATCAATTCGCTTCAGACAAATTCACCAGACCAAGAGTCAAACGCAACTCAATTGTTCCACCAAAAAACCTCGACAGAAGAAAGTCAGAACAAATCGACAATAGAAAGGCTACAAAATCTCATTTTCCGATTCCGAAAATTTTCTCGGCAAACAAACAGAAAACCGGAAAAATACCTCATGGCCTGTGTGGTGGTGAGTGGAGGAAGAAGAGGAGGAGGGTTTGGAGGAAGGCTCATCGTGAGCGGAGTTGGCGACGGGGATGAGAAGCTCACGATCTCGCTCTCTGTCTCTGTCTCTGCTCGCCATCACAATCGACGACGATTTGTCATCGCCCATCGCCGGCAGACCCAACAACACGACGCCGTTTCAACTCCGCCGCGACTGTGAATTGTCTTCAGTCAGAAGGGAAATTTCCAGAACGGCGACCGACGACTCTTGTATTCTCCTCCTCTTCCTGATCTCGCTTTTCTTCTTTCTCTACCTCTCTCCCCTTTGGTACTGTAAATCACTATTTTTCCAATTTGAAAATTTTGCTTTTATTTATTTATTTAATTTTAAAAAAATTTAAGGGTATTTTCAATTTAATAAATGAGGTTGGAAATGGATTAGGGTTTAATTCGAATTGAAAATTTTTTTTAAGGGTATTTTCAATTTAATTAATGAGGTTGGAAATGGATTAGGGATTAACGAATTAAAATAATCATGTATGATTTTTTAGATTAGTGGATCATATGTCTTTTACTAATTGGATTATTTTAATGATTAAATCTTATCAAAATTACATTAAAATAAAGAATATATGTAGAACTGACGATTTTTGATACTTAATAAAGGACGAAGCCATTGCATGCCACACCCCTCTGAACTTTTCTTTTATTTGTCATTTTACATGTTCATTTATGCCAAATATGTAGATAGCCCCCCTAAAAGTTCAAAAACTTTTTTTTCTTCCCCCAAAAATTGAAAAGTTATTGCAATATAATGTAAATTTTGTTGAAAATTCTTATGAAATTTTGAGTCATACCCCACTATATAATAAAAATTATAGTTGTACCCTAACTGAATAATTAATACTATATCTCTATTCGGGAAAAAAAAATTTATTGCTATTTTTTTCATAATAGTCTCACAAAAAATCTTTTTTTAACTTCAATATTAATTAACCCCTCGTGACCAAAATTCATGTCTTCGTCACTGTCGCTGGTTGAACTTTTCAAGCCTACCTAGAAATCTCCTTAGTTTAATTGTTTATAGCAATTAGTATGGTACATGCTATGTGAGGACTTGAAGAAAATAATGTTTTAAGTTTGTATCTACATTTAAAGCAGGGTGGCGGATTAAACAGTGTTTGGCCTGTCTATTTGGAATTTTCTAGAGGTTTACTGTAAATACTCTGTCAACCGTGTTTGAGGAGCTGTCGCCAATAATTGACTGCCAGATTTTGCAGCAGCCATCTCTGTTCAATATTCATCAAGTTTTTTTTTTTTTTTTTTTTTTAAATAATAGTATCATTTATTTTACTGATTTAAATTTAAAATTTTAAAAATAATTATATTTAATTTTTTTATTATAATAAAAAAATTATCACATAAAATCACATCTCAATTTAAATGAACGAACTAAACGGTTGAATGTGTTTGTGATGAACGCTAATGGGTGCCGTTTTATTTCAGCATTATTAAGTTTTAAATGATAATCTCTTGTTTCGTGATGATAAGGATCTACTTGTGACATCAGGGGTTAGCAACATAACTCGTACATTATTTATTTGAGATTTTCTCTACACACTCCACAAGTTTTAAATTTAAATTTTGTGAGAAAAATATTAAATTTAAATTTTATGAGAAAAATATTATAATAAAATTTTTAAATTTAAATTATGGTTTCAATTCTCAACTAAATTAAGATAAATTTGATGTAAGAGATAGCATATATAAAATTACTTCTTAACTCAATTAATTATATAAAGCAGCATAAATAATGGATAGAAGAAATAGATAAATAACGGGTAAAATAATAAGAAAAATTGGCACCAAATATAATGTATATTGAATTTAACATTAAAAAATAATATTGTTGTATAGTAATTTTTCTATTAAAATATGGTATTCGCTCATTAATTAAACACTGTATGAGGTGGTTTTACTTTTCAACTCAAATAATAATAAAAAAGCAACAACAAATAATGGCGACAAATTTCTATCCTATCCACAAAACTGTCATTGTCATAGCCCTTTAGGTATTAGTAGGTGAGTAGAATTTAACCCTTTTCCTTATTGTAGTGGCCTAGTGGCATTAACGTTATAAGAAATGTCTTGGATTGGAACCAAAATTTAAAAAGTAGATATTAACGTTATAAGAAATGTTTATTTTTTTTATTCAGAATTATGATCTAAAATTATTTTTAATTTATGTGTGTTTATTTTATGAATAAATATTATAAAAAATTATGAATTATGACACGAATCTATCAACTAAACACATTAATAAAATGGATCCATATGGATTCCATACCATTAGAATAGCATTTAAAAGTTAAATTAAAGAGAAAGAAATGATCTTTTTTTTTTTATAAAAAAAAAGTAGTTAAAGAAGCAGAGGAACAAATTGCTTATAGTTTGTCTCTAAACGCAACGTCAAAATCGAGTAAAAATTATTAGAATGTCCTTAATATTATGTGATGCTTATCTTCCTTTTATTATTTTGTTTCCCTATTTTTTTGGGCATATGGACATGATTATATGTTTGGAAAGCAAAATGGGCAAAGTTCTCTTGCTTTCTTTTTCATTTGTCATTTTACTAAATGACAAGTAATTCTATGTTGCCTCCTTTATTCCACTCTCTTTATCCAAGCACACAAGAATAACAGAGAGGCAAGGACGCAATTATTATTATTACTATTATTATTATTATTATTATTAAGCCTAAATTTCAATCCCGGAGTCGAGCAAGGTCTGAGTAAAGCCTAAATTTTATCTTGTCGAGAGTTCAATACTTAACATAGTATAATATGGTAGTAAATAAACATATTTCACTGTAACACAATACATTAATACGACACAAAACGGAATACCGTAATGTATAATAATTATAAAATGTAAGACAATACAGGTCACCAATATATGCCTCAAAATACTGGTATAACATTTCGTTATTTTTCAATTACAAAAAAGTGTTATTTTATATTCTATACCTTGTACTTTATGCTTATTAAAAATATACAACATGTATTATGAATGTTCTCAATATTATACAATTGAACTACAATTTTATCACACATCTATGTCACCACTTAGTTAACAATTTTATTAGTTTCCAGAAAGTGAACAAGTTCATGATCAACTTTAAAGGAAAAAAATATAAAATATATAGTGCATAAGAGTATTTCTTGTAGGATATTTTTACTGATAAAGTCAATTTCTAACTATCAATTTTAAAAAAATATATATATAATAAATAATTTTTTATATAAATTTAACGATCGAAAATAAAATATTATTAATACTTCATTTTTTTTTTTGTCAGAAGCTCTCATTTTTATAAGCTTAAAAAAAAAAAAAAAAAAGCCTCTTTCCTTTTCAAGTTCCAGCTAGACTCGTCCGTAGCAGACCATGGTCAAAAAAGACGGAACCAAACGTCAACGGCCAAGTCTTGTTGACTTGGTCGGTCACCGTCCATTGAACACGTGCCGTGTAGATAGGTCGTGGAGGAGATTCCGTCCTCTAATTTATCAACGTCCACCGTTGCCATTGCCCTGCCTGTCTGCATGAGAAGCCGAAAATTCACGAACAAAAAATAGTGCTGGTATTGGTTTTTAAAACCAAAAAACAAATAAGCTTTCGGTTAAAGTTTTTTGAGAATTATTGATTTTTCCTGTACTGGGTTTTCGTTTTTATTTTTCTCTTGTGTTGTGGTAAACGGCGAAATGATTGTTTGGACGGATAAGGACTAGTAATTTGTGAAGAAATAGATACGTGCAGGCAAAAAAGAGAAAAAAGATTACAAACGACAAAAAGTTTGTACTATGATACAAATCACTCGCTCATATCTGTATATATTGGATATATATGTGAAATAAAGAAGGTTCTGGTTTTGGGCTTGTGCTGTAGGACCCAGATATAGAAGACTCTTTTTATTTCATTTCATAATTCCAAATAAGCTACTTTCATAATTATATAACAGAGAATTGTGTATTGGATATAGTTTATGGGAGAGAGAAGATGTTGGAAGGAAAGGGTATGATAAAGGAAACAGACATGCCAGAGAAGATGCAGATACAAGCCATGGCTTGTGCTTCTGAAGCCCTTGATCTTCATGACGTTTTTGATTGCTGTTCTATTGCTTCCCACATCAAGAAGGTTTTCTACATTTTTTTCATTACCTCGTGTTTTTTTTTTTTTTTTTTTTTTTTTTTTTTTTTTTTGCTTCAAATCCATGATTATTTCTAGCTCCTTAATTGTTTTTTTTTTTTTTTTGTTATTAATTTTTTATGTGCATTTATGTTTAAATTTTGGTGGGTTTGTTGTGTGTTTTTGTGTATATTATATTACAGGAGTTTGATAAAAGGTATGGAAGTGGATGGCAATGTGTGGTGGGTTCTAACTTCGGTTGTTTCTTCACTCATTCACTTGGGACTTTCATATATTTTGGGCTTGGGACCCTCAATTTTCTTATCTTCAAAGCAGCCTCTTCTTGATTTCACCACTTTTGTACCATACAAAGGGAGTGAGCTGAGGAAAAGAGTCCTATATAAATATATATATAATAGCGTGTTATATATTAGGATTCTTCTGCTTGGTTTCAACCAGCGTACATATAGTTGTTAAAGAGCTCTCCTCTCATGAATATTAGACTTGTAGTTAAAATGTCTCGCGTTTTAATATGCATCTTCTTAATTGTTCTAACACATTACTAGAACACTTAATTACTCACATTCTTCATTTTACGTTTTGCTTTTATATGCGTGAGTGAATTAAGTTTTTAAATTGTCCTTGTCTACGTATGGTTCTAAATTTGTTGTTTAATTTTTAGTGTCTTAATTGGTGTCTAATAAATTAAATCACATCACATTATCTTATGATAAATATAAAAAAAATTAGTTAAAAAGTAATCTAAATTTTTTAGATGACGTGACAGAATTTTAATGATTAGACACTAAAATTTAACAGTAAATTTGAGTCTGTCTACATATTATGGGAGATTTTGGTAATATTCAAACTTTAGCATAATTTACCAAAAAGAAAAAAAGGAAGAAGAAAAAACCTTTAAGAGCATAAAGATAACCATGACCATCATAATCCAAAATGGAATCTTGGAAGAAGAAGACAAGGGTAGGTTAGTGTCATTTTAAACTCGACTTGTACTAAACCAATAAGAGAAAGATAATGAAAAATTTTATCTCGATGCAGACAAAGTACAAGGGTTATTACAAATCAACTACGCAACATTTATTAACTAATAAATACACGTTTTTCTTTTTTAACTAAATCAAATTACAAACCAGTTCGACTAAATCTAATACCAAGTTACATACATATAAAATTCTGATACTAAACCAACCAAACAAAAATAATCTATTTAACCCTATAACTGATATGGCCAGAACCATTTAACTTGGCCTCATGTAGCACAAAATCTGGAGGTTCAATCCAACTCCATACACAACTTTATATATAAAAAGCGCATTCCGCATCAATTGCATAATTTATAAGTTTATCGGCTTGCCCTCCCTGCAAATGTGAGATACCTTGCAATACTGCATTTGTTTCATTAACTCCAATGTTACAATTCACATGTCTCTTGCGCAAGAAGGAATGTCTGATGAAAGATCTTTGGCCAAATTAACAACTTGTATCAAGTCACATTCTAGCCAAATGCAATGTAGTCCTTGACTCTAAGTGATGTCTGCAGCTCATATGACACCGCGTATCTCAGCTTCGATTGTTGTCCCATAATTTACTAAAAGCTCTAAAGATGGAGCCGATGCAATTCCGAAACACACCACCACAACTTGCTTCGCCGGTCCTGCCACGAGCGGCCCTATTGATGTTGATCTTTATGCAACTGGGAAGTAGAAGGTGTTGGATATTTAAATCCTTATTCCACATTCTAGGAATCATCACACCAAATTACTAAGAAAATAGGTTAGAACAAATACATGTCTCTATTAATGTAGCCTTAATCTCCAATAGAATTTTCTAAGATAACGATCACATCAAGTTATTGTCTTTCTCAGTCAAACCACCAGATTTTTGAATGAGGTGTTTTCTCTCTAGATAGGGAAGAAGGAAAACGGCCGAATGATTTGACGTATTGGGAATCATAACCTAAGTTTCTTTATATATTGTCTCATTAGGCTCTCATTAAACCTAATTGGGTCAATATTGAGTATCCACCCATTTAGTTCATACACAGTTAGGAGACTATTTTGAGCTATCCACAATTAAACCACTTAATTAGCTCAATTAATTAAATAGCGTAAATATAATTGTTATAAATATGTGGCCCATAATTATAATTAGGAAATATAATTTCTTAACAATCTCCCACTTGGACTACATATGATTCCTGACACAATTATATCATACATAATTCTTTAGGCGCGCAAGTGTATGCTATTTATCCTTAGTTTTCACTTACGGTACAATCTCGTCCATCTCTTATATTAGCATTGGGATCATGGCGGCTTTTGTCACTTTCAAAATGCAACTAAACCTTCTACAGTCACCATACCAACATATTCAATGACATAGATCGAGTATGGATGAGTGGCATGAAAATTACATGTAATGTGATCTCCAACATGCCTATTTCCAACTAGTTCTACTTTATTCTTTATGAGATCAATCTATAATTTTCAAAACATAATGCAAAATTGCAAACAGAAAATTAACACATTCAGAGGGAAAAACTATAAAACTGTAAATCCATCTCATTTATTGTGTAGAAAATAAACAAATAAATGTTTATGTCATAGAACATCCAAAATTAACTCTGACTAAATCATAGTATCCTTAAACAAAATAACACCCATATGAGCAGTGTGCTCGTGAAAGGTCTTGGGCGTTAAGCCCTTGGTTAGCGGATCCGCAAGCATGGAGTTTGTCCTTATGTGTTTTATCGAAATCTAACCCTTCTGAACTCTTTCTTTAACAATTAGAAACTTGATATCAATATGTTTTGATTTCGTAGAGCTTCTGTTGTTATTGGAATATAACACTGCTAATTTATTGTCACAAAATATCTTTAACGGTCTTTCAATACCATTAACCACACGCAGCCCCGTGATAAAGTTTCACAACCACATCCCATGATTAGATGCCTCATAACAGGCTATAAACTCTGCAGCCATGTTAGAAGAAGTTTTGAGTGTCTGCTTGGCACTCTTCTAAGAAATAGCTCCTCCTGCCAACATGTAAACATAGCCTGACGTGGATCGCTTACTGTCTTGACATCTAGCAAAATCAGAATCAGTATACCCGATGATTTCTAAACTGTCTGATTTTTTATAAATGAGCATGTAATCATTTGTTCTCTTTAAATAGCGCATAACCCGTTTGGCTGCTTTCCAATGATCACTCTTGGGTTACTTAAGTATCTGTCTAATACTCCCACTATAAATGTTATGTCGGGACGAGTACAAACTTGAGTATACATTAGACTTCCTATTGCTGATGCATAAGGAATCTTTTCCATTTCTTTTAGCTCAAGTTCATTCTTGGGGCACTGACTGAGACTAAACTCCTCTCCTCTAGTTACGGGCGTATCTCCTGATGTACAATTCTTCATTCCAAATATGTCGAGAACCCTTTCGATATAGCCCTTTTGTGATAACCTAATGATACCTCGAGAGCGATCTCGTAGTATCTGTATTCCTAATACAAAAGAGGCGTCACCAAAATCCTTTATCTCAAAATTCTTAGTGAGAAATTTCTTAGTTTCGTGCAATAAGCCTATATCGCTATTGGTAAGTAATATGTCATCGACATATAAAATCAGGAAGATGAATTTACTCCCACTGAACTTGTGGTATACACAATCATCGACCACATTCACCTCAAAACCATAAGAGGTGATAACTTGATGAAACTTGTGATACCATTGACGAGAAGCCTGTTTGAGACCATAAATGGACTTCTTTAACTAGTAGACTATAGACTTTACATCTCCAGATACAAAGTTTTATGGCTGGACCATATAAATCGTCTCATCAATGTCGCCATTGAGAAACGATGTCTTAACATCCATCGTATGTAGCTCTAAGTCTAAATGAGCCACAAGTGTCATAACTGTCCTGAAAGAGTCTTTCGAAGAAACTAGAGAGAAAGTCTCTTTGTAGTCTATGCATTCCTTCTGAATGAATCCTTTGGTGACTAGACGAGCCTTATGTCTTTCGATGTTACCTTTCAAATCCCTTTTCGTCTTAAATATCCATTTACAACCTATGGGTTTCGTTCCTTTAGGCAACTCGACAAGATCCCAAACGTCATTGTCTTTCAGAGATTTTATCTCAGCCTTCATGGCATCAATCGACTTTTGAGCATTAGAACTATGTAAAGCTTGTTGGAAGTTGATAAGATCATCTTCCCATAAGCCTACACCATCTTCATGTTCTTGGAGAAAGACGATATAATCATCTGAAATCACACTTCTCCTTTCACTAGTGGATCTCCTTAATGGCACTTCTTGAGGTTGTTAGGTTTGCTCTATAGGTGCTGTAGGGGGAACCTCATTGTTGTCTTGTTCTAGAACAATGTTAGGAACAATAGCCTAATCATTGTTATTTTGTACTGGAGTTGCATCTTGGACAATGGCAGGAATAACATCATGGTCATTGCCAATAGCAATATTAGGAAGGGAAACAAAATCCTCTTCCTCAAAGAAAACATTCCTTATTTTATCTTCCCCTCAAACTTAATATCCTCAAGGAATCTCGCATTTCTCGTCTCAAAGAAGGACCTAGTAGTGGGATCATAAAACTTAAAAGCCCCGAGAGCATTCAGCGTATCCAACAAAATAGCAACTAACCGTTCTTAAGTCCAGTTTCTTTTCATTTGGCTTGTAAGCCCTCGCCTCAGCTGGACAACCCCAAACATGTAAGTGCTTAATGCTAGGCCTTTTTCATGTCCATAGTTCATAAGGGGTTTTAGTTACTGCTTTACTTGGAACCCTATTAAGGATATAAATTGCAGTCTTTAGTGCTTCTCCCCAAAGCGATTCAGGTAAAGAAGAATGGCTAATCATACTTCTTACCATGCCCTTAAGAGTTATGTTTTATCTTTCAGCAACACAATTCATGCTAGGCCTACCTGGCATTGTGTATTGTGGGATGATTTCGCATTCCTTTAGGAAGATAGCGAAGAGTCCCGGACGTTGTTCTCTTGATCTGTCATATCTACCATAGTACTCACCACCACGATCATATTTAACTGCCTTAATTTTCTTGCCTAGTTGAAGTTGAACTTCAGTTTTAAATTTCTTAAAAACATCCACTGACTGTGACATCTCATGTATTAAGTATAAGTAGCCGAATCTTGAATAATCATCTATGAACATAATAAAATTGTCACGCCCCCAAATCGGGGTTAGTGACGTGGAGGCTCGTTTAGAAACTTAAACCTGTTTGAGAGAGAGTGATTAGCAAATATTTTAATTTCTTTCAAATCCAAAACATCCAGGTATTTTCAAACGAGCCCCTTTCATTTAAGAGAGATTCAATTTCGAGAACGGTGGTGGAATTTCTAACCAAACCAG